GAAAAGGGCAACTCATCCCCATCATGGGCTTATGAAATCTCACCGAGGTTTGAGTTTGCTGAGTAAAAGATATACCTTGCTCCTGCAGGAAGGTATTAGGTTGGTCAGCTGCCAATTCCTGGGGAATGAACCCTGTGAGATTATTTACATTCATCCCAATTAATCAACTGATGTTTGTAAAGCACTGTAAACTTGAAAAGCACTCCTATAAATATTTGGTATTATCATATAATTACACTACCACATCTCAATTAAATGCACAATTGGCCATGCTTCAGTCATGTAACTGAAGTGTCACCAGAAGTATTTCAAATGTAGGTATCAGTCTATGCTGATGATCCTCAAGACTGGTATGTAAACCTGGAGCAAAATGAGGACTCTTGATTTTGGAAACACTGGAGATCCACTGTCTGATCAGAATGAATGTCTCTGTCCCTAGAACAGAAATACATTTTTTCCACAACTACAAATATAGGCAATTTTTTGCTTCTATTTGTCTTGCATCTTGAACACTTCTTGTAGGCAGCGCAAGGACTAAGCTGCTTCTGGTTTTTTTTTACTTTACTGCCTTCCCTCATTAATATAATGGAAAAAGGATGTCACTTGTGATCTTGTCTCAGATTTATATCCTTTAGGGTTGTGCTTTATCAATGGTCTGTATACTGTACTGTCTGATGTACTGAAATAAATTAAAACAATTAAATGCTGAAGCATTCTCCATTTCCCCCAGAGGGTAAAAAAGTTATTAAGCCTCAAATTACAATATATATGTTGCCATCTGATTATTAGCAATATAGGAAGTATTGCTTCCTACTCCATTGTCTTTATTCTGAATAGTAAGCTTGTTTATATCAGTGTTGACAATCCAAGCAGTGGTCTGGCTTCAAAAAAAAGAGTAATTTTAAAATAATAAAATTTGATATTGCTTTTTCATAGTACATTTTATAGTCTTCTAACTGTAAGATCTTTAGGAAACTCAGTTGTTTCTAAGCTTTTCTCCACAAACATAAGAGCTATGAAATTGTGGAATTTTTTTTGGGGGGGGGGTGGAGTTTTTTATTTGTTTTTTACTTTTTCTAATGAAATCAGAAACTTTAATGGACTATCTTGATTTATTAGATGAAGTAGTTACTTTACTAGATGGCAGTATTGTTACCATACTTCCCATTCCTCTTTTTTTACCTTCTTCCTCTGGTGCTCTAACTCTCACTTCTTCACTCCTTGTCATTTCTTTTCATGTCAGTTAAATGCTCTTTGGGGAAGTGGATAGGCAGTTTTTGTATGTTTGTACAGAACCTGCACAAGACTGTAGTTGAGGCCTCTAGATGCAATCACAACCAAATAATAACATTTACATCTGGTCTTTCAGGTTCATTGGCATCAGTTTACCCTACAAAGAACCCAAGATATTTTCCAGTGTAGAGCTGTTACTACTTCTTCCTGTATCTTTCTGGAATAACTGTATATAAGAGCCACAATGTGGGCTCACAGAAAGACGTGCATTTCCACCAAAATTATGCCAGAAGACAAAAATATAAAAATTCTTCAGGGCAGGAGCTACCTCTGAGTGTGTCTGTATAGCATCTGCTGACAATAGGACTCCAGTGAGGGTGTCTAAGATGCAATTACATAATGCATATACATAAAATGGAATGTGTCATTACTGCAGTGTTAAGCTATATTTGGAAACCACAACAAGAAAAGCACTTTCTCCCAATTTTTTTTTTTTTTATTTCACGATAGGAAAAAAGTGTCTTTGATATATGAAGCATTTTATGAGACTATCTTTTTATTTTAATAACTGCTAATTTGCACACCTAACATCAATTGCTGGTGCAATTAATTGTGGATGCAAATGAGAATGTTTAGCTGTCTAATCACCTGATTGTGCCTATAAATCAGTGACAGTAATTATGTGTGTAAATGCTCATTTCAGCCTGCAATTAATTTGGCCAAAATTGATAGGACAGAAAAAAATACCACCCTAGGCTGAAATTTGGTCCCCAGTGTGTAAAAAGAGAAAGTGTCTTCCTCCTCTGCCTCTTGTGTCTAAATTGCAGAGAGCTAAGTAGACAAAGAGCAATGATTCCCCAGTCCCCAATAACTCACTGCCAGTGTTTCACAATAAAGTGCAATGGGAGAGGAAATATTTCCATAAGGGTTCATTAATCACAGCATATTTGCCATGCACAACCACTCCGCAGAGCAGGTAAAGAACCCTAGGGGATGTTGCCTGGCACAGCACATCATTTTCATAATAGGAAAAGTATTTTTTGCACAAATGCTGTAGAACTGCAGTTGCAGATGGCTCCGTTGGCAGAGCTGGAGCCTCCTGGCACAACCCTCAGCAGCCAAAGCTACTTTAGGTATTTATAGCAAGTGTTAGTGATATCTCAGAAGAAGGATGCTGAAGATGCTCTCTGCCCACTATGTGCAATATTCCCAGGTGTGCCCCTTGGGGGGACATGTGAGGCAGGGCAAAAAAACCCCACCCAAAATCCAAACTACAGAAGGAAATGCAAGTCTTACCTGTCCCTGTTGTGCTGGAGGACACTAATGAGAGGTCTAGGAACAATTAAACTGATTGTGACTGAGAACCTGGGGGTCCAACAGACCCCATTAGCAGAACTGGGCAGCAAAAGATGCCTTTCCAGCTGAGTGGCTTCTTCAGATCTGGGCAGCAGGCCAATTCACTTTACCTAATCCTGAAGACATCAGACAGCCCCTGTTACCCCATCATACTCTAACCCATCTAGACCTGCTTAGTGCTTTGCATGAGAGGTAGGGTTGATGTCTCGCTTATTGTACCTCTGTTGTCTCAGTCTCTGAGTGCTTCATTGCTGCTTCACTCCCACATGGGACTTTGATAAAATTCAAAGCCACCTGGTGTGATTTTAATTTAAATGTGACTTTAATGTGTTTTCCTTTTATATTGCTATGATGTGCATTGTCAAGAGAAATGCTGCAGGCTCAGATCTGGCCTCTCAGCTGTTTCTCTGTGCTACTCCCTGGTTTTGTTTGATGCATATTCCTGAGTAAAGCTGTTGCTCTGTGGTGGCATGTGCACTGGGTACAAGGGTCCATTGGGTACAAGCACAGCAGTCATTCTTTGTGGGGGCAACTGAGTCTTGGGCTGTTCTGCCAGTCAGAGGCCAAAAATCTTCTCATCGGCAAGGATACTGCCGGAGTTACAACTGAACAGAAGAGGAATGAAAGGTTGCATGCAGCCTATATAAAAAGAGGTTCCACAATTCACCATGCTCCTCCAGTCATGAAAAGGGTTTTAAGACAAGGACTTGTGAAAAGGAGGAGAAATACTGAAATGTTTTATCTTAACCAGTTAAAACATTTCATATTGGAAGTGGTTAAAATTTACTAAAATTTTTCTTGTTAGAAAATATAATCACTAAAAAAAAAAAAAAAAAGCTGCTGA